GTGTTCTAAGAGAGCTAGGGAAAAGGGTTTGATGTAGCAGAAGGAGCAGTCAGAGAGAGGGGGAACAAGAACAGAGGTCTTCAGGGGATGGACTCCTTTCTCTCTTGCCAATAGCAGAACTCCACTGCTCCGTGTCCTCATCTCTGTGGTTATACCAAAAACACCCCGCTCCCCCCCCCACCGCCCCAACTCACATGGCCCTCCCACTTGCTCTCCACCCTTCAGCCACTAATTTTCATGGATGTACAAACACACACACACACACACACACACTGTACCCTCCCTGGTCTCTGTCCGGATGGTTTGTTCTCCTCATTTGTCTTCTCTATTACCCCTTTGCTTATCAGTTTTCCACTTAGACCTCTGTCCCAGTTTGCTCTCTAGTGCTGTGATAAAATGCTGACCGAAAGCAACTTGGGGAGGAAAGGGTTTACTTCATTACAGTTTGTTCGTTAAAGTTCTCCCAAACACAACGTGGTCAGGTCTGCCACAGAAATATCCCACGATCCAGATAGCAATTTCTGGTCTTTTAGTTTTTTTTTGTTTGTTTGTTTGTTTGTTTTTCGAGACAGAGTTTCTCTGTAGCTTTTGGAGCCTGTCCTGGAATTCACTCTTTAGACCAGTCTAGCCTCAAACTCACAGAGATCCACCGCCTCTGCCTCCCGAGTGCTGGGATCAAAGGTGTGCGCCACACTGCCCAGCCTTGTTAGGTTTCTATTACCACAATAAAACACTGTGACCGTGGGGAGTTGTTGTTGGTGGCTTTTAAAGCACTAGGCACAAGCAGGTGGATCTTTGAATTCGAGGTCAGCCTGGTCTACAGAGTGAGTTCCAGGACAGCCAGGGCTACAGAGAGAAACCTTGACTCAGAAAGCAAATCAAAACAAATCACCATGACCAAAAGTAATGTGGGGAGGAAAGGGTTTATTTTAGTTTACAGTTTATAGTTCTTCCTGATGGGAAGTCGGAGCAGGAACTCAGGACCAGAACCTGGAGGTAGGAACTGAAGCGTGGGTCATGGAGTAGCATGCTTACTTCCTTTCTCTTCAGGGCTTGCTCAGTTGGCTGTTTTGTTTTGTTTTGTTTTTTAGAGACAGGGTTTCTGTGTGTAGCCTTGGAGCCTGCCCTGGAACTCGTTCTGTAGAACAGGCTGGCTTCGAACTCACAGAGATCTGCCTTCCTCTGCCTCCCAAGTGCTGGGATTAAAGGCATGTGCCACCATCGCCCAGTTCTTAGTTGGCTTTCTTATACCAGCCAGAGCCACGAGCCCAGAGGTGGCACCACACAAAGTTCTGGGTCCTTCTACATCAATCATTAATCAAAAAATGCACCATAGGTGTGCCTGCAGTCAGAGCTGATGGAGGCATTTTCTCCATTGAGGGTCCTCTTCCCAAATGACTCTACTCTATCAAAAAACAACTAATCAGGACAACTCCTGACGTGGGTTCAGGTCCTCTCGGACCTCCCAGATCCAGTTATGGTCCCCACTTATTCTTCCTGTAAATATGTGCTTAGCACTTTCTATCATGGTCAGCATCGGACTTCAGGGACAACAGGGGACAGGGCCCCAGGGAACTGATAATCTTAGCAGAGAAGACTCATGCACAAACATTATGCAAAAACACTTATAAATTATTGTTAGTGTTGAAAACAAAAACGAAACAAACAGACAAATCAAGCCAATGCAACCCAGAATGCTGTGTCGGGAGAGACACTCAGAGAAGGGTCTCTGCGGTTGTGACAGTTAAGCCTAGTCCTGGAAAAAGAAACAGTTCTGTACGCAAGCAAGGGGAAAGCGCTCCAGGCAGAAGAAAGAGTAACTGCCAAGATCTGGGGAGGCAGGAACCTTGATGGTTTCTAGGCACTCGGATAGACAACCAGGGGGACTGGAGGGAGAGCAGAAAACAAAGGATTGAGCATGAGTTTAGGTTTCTGCAGTTGGCTGCAGTGTTTGGATTTCACTCTCAGCGCAGTGGCCAAAGTACTTTCTTTTCCCCTTAAGATTTATGTTTTAACTGGGCGGTGGCGCACGTCTTTAATCCCAGCACTCGGGACACAGAGGCAGGCGGATCTCTGAGTTCGAGACCAGCCTGGTCTATAAGAGCTAGTTCCAGGACAGGCTCCCAAGCTGCAGAGAAACCCTGTCTCCAAAAAAACAAAAAACAACAAAATGAAAATTATATATTTTAGGCCGGGTGGTGGTGGTGCACACCTTTAATCCCAGCACTTGGGAGGAGGGGCAGGCGGATCACTGTGAGTTCAAGACCAGCCTGGTCTACAAGAGCTAGTTACAGGACAGGCTCCAAAAGTTATAGAGAAACCCTGTCTCGAAAAACCAAATATATATATATGTATATAGATATATGTTTTTATTTTATGTGTATGTGCAAGGACCTGCATGTGTGTATTGCCTGGTGCCTGCAGAAGCCAGAAGAAGGCACAGGATACCCTGAACTGAAATTACAGGTGGTTATGGGCTACCTTGCCAGTTTGGGGAACCGAACCTAGGTCTTTTGCAAGAACAGGAAGTGCTCTTAAGTGCTGAGTACATTGTTTAGTTTTTTAAGACCGAATCTCACCTGTCTCAGGCTGGCTTCAACCTTGATTTGTGGCAGAATGTGCCCTTGAACTCCTGGTTTCCTGGCTTCTATCTCCTTACCACTGTTAGGATTACAGGCGTGCAATACTAGTCCTGGCCCAGTCAATGGTTTCAATTGGGACTTAACAAATGACTTTAGTTTTTGTTAGACTGCCCTAGTTGTTAAATGAAAAATGGACTAAGGGATACACAGAAGATTAGGAAAACCACTGAGCATAGCACTTTAAAATCAGCCTTGGGGTGGAGGACCTCTTTGAATTAGGGGCCTGCCTGGTCTACATAGCGGTTGTTAGGATAGCCAGAGCTACACAGTAAGATCCTGTTTCAAATTTAAAAACACAAACAAAAAGATTAAGAAAACCAGTTAGGACTTTCTAGGTCCAAGCAAAAGAAGATGTTAGCTTTAACTTGAACAGTGAAAAGTTGTGCATTCAAAAGCGATCTGAGGTTGGAATTTATGGGAGTTCCCAAAAGATTTGATGAGAGGTTCTGGGGAAATAGAAGAACAAGAGATGGTGCCTAACATCTGCCCTGAACCAGCAGAAAGAGGCTTGGCCTGTCCTAACCCCATTGGTCTGCTCTTCCTTTGGAGCCCATGGGGAAATTTTCAGAAGCCTGGAGCTTGAGAAACAAGCCTTGTCAAAAGTCGCAATCTGTGAGGTCCCTGCTAGTTATAACCTAGTTTTGTTATGTACTGAAAAATCTGAAAATTGGAACAATCTTGTGATTTCCTTGGACCCATCCTTTAGCACCGGGTGGAATTCCGTGCCCAAAGAGCATTCAGTAATCGCTAGCTGACTTTTCACTTGGGCACCAAACTTTCATAATTGAATTTTAGATTAAATTCCTAAAAAAAAAAAAAGAATTCTAATGTAGAGTAAACTTTCATTTGAAATCAATTCACCTTGAGAAAGTAGAGCCATGGCAAGGCTAATCTAAAATTGTAAAATTCAAAGTAATTCCTATGTGAGCGGAGGCAGGAAATCCTTTTTTTCTAAGTTAATCATCTGCATCTGCATTTAGGCAGATGTTGTTTGGGGGCAGATGTCAACAGGTGAGTCAATTTTATTCAAAATAGAAAGGAAAAAAAAAAAAGAAAGAAGCCAGGTATGGTGGCACACACCTTTAACCCCAGCACCCAGGCGGGAGGTAGAGGCAGGCAGATCTCAGTGTTTGAGGCCAGCCTGGTCTACTCAAAACACTTTAGGCTAGCCAGGGCTACATAGTAAGACCATGTCTCAAACAAACAAAAATAAAAAACAACCTGTTGGGGGAGAGTGCTTATTCGTTCCCAGCTGCTCTGACCCAAAATAACCACACAGAAACTGTATTAATTGCAATACTGTTTGGCAATAACTTAAGTGCATTTCTAGCTAGCTCTTAGATCTTAAACTAACCCGTCTCCATTGATTTGTGTATCACCACAAGGTTGTGGCCTACCCAGCAAAGTTCCATCTTTCTTCTGTGGCTACATGGCTCCCACTGACTCTGCCTTCTTTCTCCCAGCATTCAGTTTAGTTTTCCTGCCTAGCTCTACTCTGCCTTATCATAGGCCAAAGCAGCTTCTTTATTCATTAACCAATAAAAGCAACACATATACAGAAGGAATTCCCACATCAATAACCTCCCTCCAAAATATATTTATAAAAATTCGTAATGGGGCATGCAAAGTGGATAAAATCTACTCTTTAGTATACCCCCTCTTTCTTTGTTTTTTCCTTCCTTCCTTCCTTCCTTCCTTCCTTCCTTCCTTCCTTCCTTCCTTCCTTCCTTCCGTTTCTTTTTTTGAGATAAGGTCTCACTATAAAACTTGGACTGTCCAGGAACTCACTCGTATTGACCAGACGGCTTCAAACTCACAGAGATCTGCCTGCCTCTGCCTCCTGTCTTTAATGTGTTCTTTGTGTAAAACATTGTGCTTCTAAAATTTATTTTGAAGTGATAAGTTTGGATAAATTTTACAGCATTTATTTATTATTTATTATTGAGTTATTTGAAACAGAGTCTTATTCTGTAGCCCAGGTGGACTGGAACTTAACTATGTAGCCCAGGCAAGTCTTGAACTCATGAAAGATCCTCCTACCTCAACCTCCCTAGTTCTGGGGTTATAGGCGTGAGCTGCTACATCTGGCTTTAGACTCATCTTGAAAATTAATGGCATGCAGATGGAATTGTGTGGCTGGTCCAAGGCAAAAACTAGGATTCGAGTCTGCAGTTCCCCTGCTCTCTGACTGCTGCGTCTTTGCCTGGCGCCCCACCTTTGAGACAGCATGTTTCCCAGCCATTTTCTCAGGTTAAAAATTCAGCACTTCAATATCTATAAGCTTATTGAAATCAAATACCTGGGTAAGTACATCATTCCCAGTCTTTTGTTTTATTAAAGAGGGAAGTAAAATGACAGAATACCTTTTATATGCCAAGAGCTTTTGAACAAATATATCGTTCAATGCTTTGTATTATCCCACGATGCACGGTCCACTTCACCAAGGAGATAGGGAAAGCACTTGACCTGCGTCCTGTGAGTCCCTTGCCACTGCCATCGTCTAGGGACAGGAGTCTTGTGCAACATGCTGTGCACACCACGGCAGTGAGGCCTTTTCTCCTTGTTCCCTTGGTAGCCAGGGTCTCAGATGGGACCTAGGATTGGTAAACTGGGTGCAGCTAGCTGGGGCTTAGGCTTTGCAGCATAAAGCACAAAGAGAGGGAGGATTAGGCATCCTTTGCGGCAGTGATGATGAGTCTGACGGTGGGTGGCACTTAGTTGCAGTGTCCTGAGGCTGAACCTCGTTGCCACACTTTCTGAGGGTGATTCTTCATCCACCAGTCCGTGGTCTCCAGCCAAATTTCCAAGTTGGCTTCTTGGAAACTCTAGTCAGTTCTGTAGTACTTCTTTAGAAAATTCCAGTCCGGGTGCATAGAACCAGAGTTGGCACGGTGCTTGCAGCCAGGTGCTCTGGGTGAAATGTGAGGGAACTGGCTGCAAGGTCAACAAGTTTGTTCAGGAGCTGCAATTGGTAAGAGGCGGTGTTCTGGCTGGGCTGTTGTGTTTCCTTGACTCCATGCTGCCTGGAGAATTCCACAAAAGGGCAGAGGCACAGAGTCAGCATGGTGCATAGACGAGAGGGTGAGGGAAGAACAGTCACTCCAAGTCCGTGTTCAAAGACACACACGTAAATAAGCAAGTCTACTCAGGCCACAGACAGAGCTGTGTTCAAATAGATCCTACCACCATATAATAAGTTGGAAAATGCGAGCCTTAGCTATATTTATGTCATAGTAAATGTTAGTTCTGGGTTTGAACTTGAGTTTGCAGAAAAGAAGCCCGCTCATTCATTAAGCCTCAGCTTCACCATGAAATTTAATCAATCAATGAACATGTTTCCATTGTCAATTTTCTATTAACCTCATCGTGACCCTAGAACAACACTGTCAATGTGTTCTTGGTTTTTTTTCTTCTTGTTTGTGATCTTACATTTTTGTCCTTGAATGTGTCACCTGTCTCTTTTTCCTTAGGCTTGGACGTTGCCAACACATAGGACTATATTCCCGGCCAATCTTCCTGTATATCCATTTCTACAAAGGATCCTGACACGGCAGCCATAGGGCTGGATGGGGGCGGGTCAGGGGGATTCAAAGTTGTCAGAGAACTAACTGAAGAACTCTACAAAGAAAAGAGACTAACCAGCGGTGGTGGTGCACATCTTTAATCCCAGCACTCAAGAGGCAGAGGCAGGCTGATCTCTGTGAATTCAAGGCCAACCTGGTCTACAAGAGGTAGTTCCAGTACAGGCTCCGAAGTTACAGAGAAACCCTGTCTCAACAAACAAACAAACAAACAAACAGAACAACAACCAAAAAAAGAGGGCTGGAGAGATGGCTCAGAGGTTAAGAGCACTGACCTCCCTTCTGGAGGTCCCAAGTTCAATTCCCAGCAACCACATGGTGGCTCACAACCATCTGTAATGAGATCTGGTGCTCTCTTCTGGCCTGCAGGCATACATGGAAGCTAAACACTGTGTACATAATAAATAAATAAATTTTAAAAAAGAAAGAAAGAAAGAAAGAAAGAAAGAAAGAAAGAAAGAAAGAAAGAAAGAAAGAAAGAAAAGAGACTTACCTCCTTGAAGCGCTTACAACTAAAATGGCAGTTCATACTTCTCTTCAGGCTGGCCTGCCTCTACCTCCCCTGTGGTTCCAAGAAAAGCTGTGCCTTTTCTTATTGAACTGTAAAATGGAGCCCATGATCCTTGTTGGCAAAAATAAATAAACACCAGACATCTCTGAGTCTTTGGGGACAGATCCCTTGCCCAGACCTGGCTCATGACAGCCAATGAACATTTTGTCGTTTGTGTTTTGGATTAAGAGAATGACTTCTGCATGTCTCCTAGCATCACAAGGAGCTGTGAATTGAATTGGTGCCATTGTAGGCTTGATTGTTGTTGCATAGATAAAAGCCTCATTAAGTCCCTCATGAGGAGAGAAAAATTTTATTTTGAGGAACGAGGAGCAATGAGGGCTTCTTTGCTTGTTGTGGTTACAACAACAAAACATGAAATGGAGGAAATAATTAAATAACTGAACTTTTTTTTTTTCTTTACCCAAACCTTGTCAAGAGGCTGGGTGAGTTTTTAATTAGTGCTGCATTTTCAATAAATCCGGACTGGTACGTGGTGCCGATTCTTTCCTGGATAAGGGAAAGATAATAATGAGAATCTTATTTTTCAGTCCCACACTAAAGGGATGCCTGGTATATTTAATCATGCTGTAGAAATCCTGGCAGCCTTCTCTGAGCCTGGCCTCTGCTCTAATTACATTTCTAGATTTTAGTAAATTGAAAGGGAAAATGTAGGAACAAAATAATTAAAACCGAAGAGGAAGTGCATATTAAAAAGGAGAAGCTGTTTAAAATTCTTGCACACAGTGCTTCCAAGGACATCTACAATCGTTTAATCAGCTCCACACCAAATCAAAGCCCTTTGTGCAGAGGCTGCTGGGATCATATCTCAGGTGGGCGGTGTGGTCCTCACAGTAAAATGGGAGCCTCATTGCACAGAGCCACAGATGGCAAAAGGACCTCTTCTGGACCTCCAGATCACTGGGGATTCAGGCCCAGTCTGGATAAGCTGCTGGCACAGACTCCATACCCGGAGGAGCCCTCTCCCATATCCCGGGCAGAGGCTAGCTAAACTGTAAGGATTAGTCTCGATTGTAAGGAAGCTGAAACAGATGTCTGTTCCTTTCTGCACCTCTTCCCCAGGCTCCTTTCCCAAGGGAGTCTATCTCTTTCTCTCTCTCTCTCTCTCTCTGCTCTTCTGTGAAATCTGAAGTCAAGAGAACAGGTAATTAAACAGCCTCAGTGTCACCAAGAGCTAGCGACTTGTAACTGGCCACTGGGTTTCCACTGGAACATTTTGAATTTTTACAAGGACCAAACACCTTTCTGGCTTCAGTTAAAGAGATGAACATTTGTTGATGATGGTGATTAATGAAATCTAATTGGAAAAGTTTCAGGCAACTACCTAATAGGTGACAAGAGCTCTTTCTGTTTCAGAGGCAAGCACATTAACTGCATCATTAGAGAATCAAGGCTCTCCAATTTTACAAAATAACAATTTTGGTTGGGCATAGTGGAACACACCTGCAATCCTAGCACTCAGGAGGTGGAGGCAGGAGGGTCAGGAGTTCAAAGCCAGCCTCTGGGGGGCTGGAGAGATGGCTCAGTGGTTAAGAGCATTGCCTGCTCTTCCAAAGGTCCTGAGTTCAATTCCCAGCAACCACATGGTGGCTCACAACCATCTGTAAAGAGGTCTGGTGCCCTCTTCTGGCCTGCAGGCATACATACAGACAGAATATTGTATACATAATAAATAAATAAATAAATAAAGCCAGCCTCTGTTAGTGAGTTTGGGGCTAGCCAGGTCTATGTGAGATTGTCTCAAAACAAGAACCAAAACCCAAAAACAAAGCAGAAAACAAACAACAACAAGAGTAATTTTATCTGGAAGGCAAACTGTTAAGTCCTGGGGTTTTCGAAGAGTTTTGCCCATGGTTCATAAGACATCTAAAACTGGGACCGGGATCTGCTTCTGTACTTGAAAGTGGAAGGCAGCAGGGCACTGTCTCAAGAGTTCTTTCCAACCCCGAGGCCTGGCTCACAGACTGCCAGCCTTCCCTGCTGAACAGGCTCACCAGCCACATGGTGCCAAGAATCCTGTGGCAAGAGACAGAAGCACAGTCTCCTGGAGACTGTCCCACAGGCCTGGAAAGCAAGACAGGCTGCAACCTGTGCCTACCTCATAACGCACTGGGTCACCGGGTTGCTCTCTTGTCCAGTGCTAGGTGCACGTGTGAACTGTGTAGGCAAAAGAGACAGGCTCTGCTTAGGATTTTGAGGGCTTGATTCAGAAATAATTTTTTTCCTTAACATTTAAGGTAAGCAAAGAATGTGAGTAACAACAACAAACATCCCATTGCTGTCATCATCACTTCAACACAAGATGATTGTTTTCTTCCAGGGCCAAGATGATGCTCCGAGACAATTCTACTCAATTCCGGAATCACTTTTGGCCCATGGGAGCTAAAACTTGGGATAGACTGGGGACCCAGGTGTCCTAGCCAATAAATTGTCACAGAATCAGCCTCCTCTCGACATTTGTGCTCTCTCTCTCTCTCTCTCTCTCTCTCTCTCTCTCTCTCACACACACACACACACACACACACATCTTATGCCTTTCCCAGAAAGAATGGTCCTTTGGTTGTTGTTTACCAATGCTAATTTACTTATTTGATTTTTGAGACATGGTATTACAATGTAATTCTGGCTGGTCAAGCTAGACTTAAACTCATAGATCTCCTCCTGCCTCTGCCTCCTGAGTGCTGGGGTTAAAGGTGTGCAGCACAGTCTCGGAGTAAAGCATTTGCAGGCTAGACTTACTGGACATGGATCTCTATGAATTTGAGACCAGCTTGTCCACAAAGAGAGTGCTGGGTCAGCCCTGGCTGCATAGGGAGACCCTATCTCAAAAAACGAAACAAACAAAAACAAAATGTAAAAGTTCTTTTCAAAAAAGGTGTCTGGCAATCATTAAAATTCAGAAAACATTTTATTGAGAGTTTGCTAAAAAAGAAAGTAAGAGCAAAGTCATCTGTAATCCACAAATTGCACATCTAGATTTCAGTTGTGAAATGCCTGTAGCTCCTCCACCAACCCGGTCCCTCGCTCTTAGCCTCCTCCATTCCGGCCTCGCACCTCGGCGTGATCTTCCGCGCACTGCACGCGACCCCCTCCGAGTTCCCGCCTCTTCCCACTCTGGCCCCGCCTTCCGCTCAAATCCCGGGGCTCTGGAACCGCCTCGTGACGCTTGCGCACTAGGGAAGGTAGGCGGGGTCTTAAAGGAGGAGGAGGCGGAGGGCCTTGAACGGGGCGGGGCTGGGCGGGGCAGAACGGGGCGGGGCGAGGCGGGGCGGGGCGGGAAGCCGGGGGAGGAGGCCGCGCGGGGTGGGGCCCGGCGGGTACGCGCTCGCTGCGTCGACGTGCTGACGACAGGACGCCCGGGCCGGTGTGTGTCGGTGTGTATGTGTGTGTGTGTGTGTGTGTATATGTGTGTGTGTTTGTGTGTGTGTGCGCGCTCCGAGAGTGTGTATTTGTGTATCGGCGGTCCCGCAGGTCCCGGATGTTGCGGGCAGTATGAGGCGAGCGCAGGGGAACAGGGACCAGCAGCTGTCGCCGCCGTTCTCAGGTGAGTGTGTGTGTGTCAAGAGTCGAGGAAGGGGGTTGGCCTGTCGGGGTGCGGGGGTTTTCCTTAAGAAGTGACTGACCCCCCCCCCTCCTACAAACACACACTTGCCCTCATGTATTATTCTCTGCCCCATTTCCTACACCCCGGTTTCATGGCCTGAGGAAGCCAGAGCCTAGTCAGCCGTCTGTTCTTCCTACCTCAAGCATTCAGGAAACACAAACGCGCCCCCTGCCTCCAGCCTCCCTCACCATCATATCCCAACCCCATCCCCCTTGCCAAATAGTGAGCTGTCGCCTGCGGCGAGATGGAGGACTGCGCATGCTCGAATGTGAAGGAGCTCGGGGTGCCTGGTCGCTGCCTTAGGACGCATGCGCATTGCTGTGTTGCAGGGACCTGCGGGATAAAGAGCCCCTTGACCACGCGCCCGCCTTCTTCCCAGGCAGCGCTAGACTTGCCACCCAATAGTGAGCCTGTCGCTCCGATCCGAGAGGGAGAATTTAAATTATGCGAGGGATTTAAGGACAAAGCACTATTCGCATCTGTTGTTGCCCTAGAGACTCCCAGGCTACCAACGCCTCCTAGAGCCAACGTGTCCCACGCTGACCCTCCTTTTGAAACTGACTGCAACTTCTAGTTCTAGAATTACTTTACTTCCCTTTCCACCACTCCGGTCGTCATGCTGAACCCTTACTGCAAACTTTCCCTAAATTTAGGAGTAAGTTCAGCTCATTTATTCAGGCAGGGAACTTTTTTTTTTTTTTATGGCCTTGTTATGAAGGACTAAGGACCATAAAAAAGAAACCACAGTGGGAATTCCTTTTTAGTAAAATTCAGAATTGCCTTTAGAGGGTTAGGCAAGGAAGGGGAAAGTGTCACACACAGTTTAAGGCTTGGGGTAATAACAAAACCAGAACGGAAATGAACTCAGGAGCTTCATCTCAGTTGTCTGACCTAGTTGGTTCTTTGCGGGGGGGGGGGAGGGGGGTCAGAGTTCTTTCATAGTCTTTCAGTTTAGCTGTACGTAGCTGATGTTCTGTGGCCATATGAAAACAGAGGTAACCTGAAACAATTGAACAGCTTGCCCAGAAGTATTAATTTTAAATAAACAGTGATAATTCTTTCATATGGGCAAATCCCCAAGAAAATTAAACTGACGAACTTTACGTAAATATTTCAGTGACTTAGGATTTGGAGTTTCAGGCGACGGAGTATACTTGGTTCTTTAGTTTGCTGCTGTATTGTCACTCTTAGAAACTTTGTCTTACCTCTACCATGGGGGTGGAGAGGTTTGTTTCTGTTTTGAGACAATCAGGGTCTCATATAGCCAGGACAGGTCTGGACCACCTATGAAGACCAGGTTGGTCTCTACTGGAGTTACAGGTATCTGCTTGCCTCTGCCTCTTGAGTGTTAGGTGTACACCACCACATCTGGTCACAAAGATAAACTCTTTACTAGCAAAAGGTTTGCTGAATTGTATGGAAATGAATAGCTAAATTGTTGTTAGGTGGGGAGAATGGAAAAGGGAGGGGCATTTTCTGTTTTTCGGTTGGCTAGCTAACCTAATGTCTCAGCTAGACTCCTGGGTCTATTTTGAAAATAACAGCCTTATGTTGAAATTCCCTTTCCTTTGTGTTCATTCTTGGGTATTCTCACAAGACTTATTTGGTTGCCTTGTTAACTTTAGGACCTTAGGTTCCTGGGCTTTAAAGTATGTATACACTTTTCACTTCCTCATTTAACACTGGCCTTTATGTGGCTCAGGTGTCTATTGTGCTGTTCCTGGTTGCCATGTTGCACTTGGAGCCAAGGGATTTGGGAATTGGGGGGAGCATATGTCATCCTGTGTTGGAAGAGAGCTAGTTACTCTGCTTCCCCCCCCCCCAATAGTATAAATTACTGTGCTCACTCCACATTGAACAATCAGGGTAGTTGGTGTCCTTTCAGTATTTTGGTGACTATACCTTTTAAAAGAGTTATTACAGTGGCTAGTTTGGTAGTTGGAAATAATGTGACCAACCTCCATATTTGGACCAGGCTCTAGTAGAATCTAGAAGTGAAACTATTGAGGTAATGCTTGTCTTTCTTCTAAGTAGGCTTCTTCATCTAGGATACTTCGTTCTTATCTGAAAACATTTCATTTCTAAATTCACTTAAGCCTTATTTAAATTTTCGATGGTACAAAAGAATGGACTGCTTTTAGAATTAAGATAAGTTGTTAATTCATATTGGCACAGAAATATGTTTAAAAAATAAAAGGTAATACTAATGTGAAAAAAAATTCAAAAGGTACAAAGTGAGAATGAAAAGCCTTCTGTTATTCTCCTGCCCATCAAGTTACCCAAGGCAACATCATCTCCTTCCAGAACCCATACATTACAAATACATATATCTACTTATTCTTTGGTGTCTGGTTTTCACAAATGGTAAGGCACTATATCCAATTTTTACTTTTTCACTCAATTTGTCTTGGTGATCATATAGTGTCTGTAGTATCTTTTTAAAAAAGTGGCAAGGGTTGCATTGTATATGGTAGACCATCATTTAGCCAATTCTTACTTAACAGTAGGTTTCCAAAGCCACAGTTCATTTTTTATGTGTACTTAGGTGTCTATTGGATTAATTTATTTTTGTGAATGTGCCAGATCAATGGATGTATACATCTTTAATGTTGGCAATATTGCTAAACCATTTTCCACAGTGGTTTATAAATTTATATTATTGCCAACGGCTCATCTGCCTGTTTCTTAACCAACACTATCATTCATACTTTAAAAATAAATTTTAAATGGTGTTTTCTCTGAGATTTTAAGTTCATAATATAGTTTCTTAAGTTTCATTACATTGAGGAGCTGTGGATACATTCTGTCACTGTTCTGTATGTTAATGGTGTTAAAGAATATGCCTCAATCGAGGAGCAATACCATTAGAGTGAAGTCATGTCTGGAGAACAGTAAGCCCTAGTGGCAGCACTAGGAAGGTGTATAGACCTGTATTTCAGTTTCTTCCTTTTCACTCAGATTCTAGTTTCTTATGTGATATCGTCTGATGCCCTCTTGGTAGCTATGACTGAAAGTACGTTACTTGCTTTTTGTTGTGTTGAAAAGGTAACTCAGTTGTTAAGGTACTGTCTATTATCTCCACCAGAATGTTGGTCTTAGCAGTCTTCTGATTGCAGAATACCTTACTGTGAGCTATAAAGAAATGAAAAAGCTGGGTATGTTGGAGCACACCTTTAATTCCAGTACTCAGGAGGCAGAGGCAGGCAGACTAGCCTGATCTACATAGTTCCAGGCCTGCTCAAACTTCATAGTGAGACTCTCACCCCAACAACGCCACCCCCGCAGAAAAAAGAATGAATGAATGAAAAGATTTCTGTGCATAAAGGATATTTTGATCATTGGACAATCGAATGTACTAAATATATGAAATAATAAGAGTTAGGAAGTAAAATATAGGCCGGGCGGTGGTGGCGCACACCTCTAATCCCAGCACTTGGGAGGCAGAGGCAGGTGAATCTCTTTGAGTTCGAGGCCAGCCTGGTCTACAAGAGCTAGCGCCAGGACAGGCTCCAAAGCTACAGAGAAACCCTCTCTCGAAATCTCGAAATACCAAAAAAAAAAAAAGAAAAGAAAGAAAAGAAAAAGAAAGCAAAATATAAATAGTATGCTTGTGTTCTTGCTGAGAAGACCTGCAAAGGAGGGACCAACGGTTGAAGGAGTTTCTTTTGAGAGCTTTTTGAAAAAAGTGTATGTTGAGGTTTTTGTTTTTTTCCAACTGTTGAAAGTTTAAAGAGATAGAAAAGTAGAAAGGATGGTTCACTTATTACCTTCTGTCAATCACTGTGATTGTTCACATTTTTATTGTATTTTAATTTTTTTTTTTCTGACAGGGCTTTTCTGTGTAGCCTGGCTGTCTTGGAACTCACCCTGTAGACCAGGCTGTCCTCGAACCTGGAGATCTGCCTGCCTCTGCCTCCCAAGTGCTAGGATTAAAGGCATGAGCCACCACTGCCCAGTGTATTTTAAAATTTATATGTGATATATTTTATGTATAATATACAAACTTTTATATATTGCAGATATATTTCACCCCTTAGATGTATCTCCTTGAAATACATTGCTTTACTCGCTTATTCTTACACTATTTGTCACAAGTCAATAATGAGTAATTTTAAATTTTATTTTATATTTTGAGACAGGGTTTCCCTGTGTAGTCCTGTGGCTGGACTAGAGTTCACCATATAGACTAGACTCAGATTCATAGGTAATTACCTGCCTCTGCCTCTGCCTCTCAAGTCCTGGAATTAAAGGCAAGTACCACCATACCTGCCGTTGTTTGTATTTTTTCCCCCTTCAAACATGTGTATCTCTTTAGTCTCAAAACTATTTGAAGCTACTCAGGATAAGTGGCTTTTGCTTTTTGAAGGGACCAGACCATTTGCGTTCCAAGGTACATCATCTCTTGGAATTTTCTGATTTTTAAAAAATTAAAAATTTTAAAAATGTTTTTGGTTTTAATAATTTGTTCTTTTATCAGTATAAGCTGATATTGAGACCTAAAGGCTTGGTTAGATTCCAGTTAAACAGCTTTAGGAAGC